GAAGTTGTGGTAGGTAAACAGTGGTGTTCAAACGGAGCTAAAGGTTTTGAAGTTTTGACGAAAATAATTATCTTTTATGACTTAGCATATGCTTGAAAACAAATCTTTTCAAAAAAACTTTCATCGTTACCTTACGTTATTAATTCCACTTGATTCTAATATTACCGTTGTTTCTTGTCCGTATGAACCAAATGAAAAATAATAATATTCAAGACATTGAATACCAGTGCTTCCACTTGGAACAATAGTTCCAAATGATTTTGGATTAGATATAGAAACTTCTGTCATACCAAACATACCTGTACATGAAAAAACTTATTACAGTGGACTAAAATCAAGTATATTCATCTGCTAAGTTCTATGCAGGTATGATTTGACCTTTAATGCAGAGATAGAAATGAAAACAATAAGTATGGGTATTTCTCTTCCTCATCATAAAATTTTATGTTAGTTTTCAACATTTTCTTATACGCTTCTTAATCTTCTTCAGGATAGACAACTCCGTTGAGCAGATGTTGGATGCAACTGAAGTGCATCGAATCAGCTAACGAGTGGACCAGAGGAAATGAGCCGTTTAGTGTTTTTTACTTTTCTCGTGTTCCTTTAAGCTCTTAAGGTTATTGTTTTCTAAGTGTGGAAAGCTGTGTCGAATGCCATATATCTGAGCTTCATTTGATGACTTTCAATCTTTTAACCATGTAGATGCCATGATTCGGGTGCTTCTATTCACACCCGTCGACCATTACATGACATAAGAGCCGCGAAAAGGGCGGCCATTTTTTGGCAACTGGTATTGGCAGGTAACTTCTTACGACGTTAGTGTAGGCCTTTTCCTGCAACAGAATGAAACGTAGTACCATACTTGTGATGTTAACAATGAAAAAGTCTACTTTTGTGGTGTCTATTTGTTGGATTATTATATTGTTACCTTCATTTTATCATTTGCTAAAGCAGGAACAGTTGGAGAAATTCGAAGTGTATTTACCAGGTATGAGTTTAATTTAGAAGTAGAAACGATGACTTCTGATAATCTTTTCTAGGTAATGATAAATATAAAATTAGAAAATGGTCAAAAACGGCCGTATTTCAATGCTACGGGCCAGATTATTCAAAATTTGAAACGATAATGGTCGTTGATAAAATATTATATGGCTTTTTGAATATATTTTGTCGCATAGCATTTAGCGGTAGTTTGTGTATGGAATTACCTGCAGCATGCATTTCTCTAACCCGTTTCTAATCTTTTACACTAGTTCTGTGTATGCCTTTTGCTCTTACTTTAAGTGCAAATACACAAGTTTCAAAAGAATGACCATGAATTTTTTATGCGATGTTCTTGGAGCTATTCATTACAATACTCGTCTTTTGTTCATGCTCCTAAAGAATTTCGCGTGGTCTAAATTGAATTCAACGAAACAATAAAGACTGAAGACCAAAGATGTTTTCATGCTTTGGCGTGTTGTCAGGAATTCATGCAGCGCCTCTTTAATCTTAAAGTTTAAGAAATTCAACTGTTGTATTTGTTTCTAGGTTTTTTTTTAGCAACAAGCGTGTGGACGTTTTTCTTGTCTCTTTCACTTATTGATATTGGCCTAAATGGCTTCCGCATCGACCCTCGTCCAATCCCACATCCGACTCTTCATCTATGCAACGTGCCACGATCGCCAATGAGGTTTTATTTATTTGAGAAGAAGACAAGGAAGATTTGCGAGGTTTATTTTTATACTCAGCTAGTGAACTGCTCTAGTGAATGTATAACATTGCATTCAGCTTCCGGTATAAACATTGTTTTCTTCGTTAGTTCTCTCGTATATAACGGCTCATCTGTGATGCTTTTACAGCAGGATATTGAACCAAATGTGGGACTTAATTTGGGTCTTTTGAGATGCTTCTGTACACGTGTGAAGATGGCTGCCATGGTCGAGTCCGGACTGGAAGACTTTTTTGGCGGACTCGGACTCTCTAACATGTCCAGGTTATGAAGATCGTATTATTTTGGTTAATGTTGGTTTTCGCAAAGATGTCCATTATTGGGAGTTAATTATTAATCCTTGTGATGACAAACCTGAACCTGCATTTGGTGTAGCCCGTTTTGATGTGCCAAAAGATCATATGTTAGGTAAGTTGTTAAAAAATGACTATTATCATCAATCATTCAATTGAGCTCATTTATTCTTCAGGTAAAGACTCAAAATCTTGGTGTATGTACATTGATAGTGAACGATCGTGGTTTATGCACAACGAATCGGCAAACTGCTCTAGTTATGTCCGGTGTCCCGCAAGGGAGTATGTTAGGTCCCCTTTTGTTTCTCATATTCATCAACGACCTCGTTTCAGCGCTTATTGCTTCAATGACAGTTTCTTTGTTTGCAGACGATGTCTTTGGACTAGTGCCATTGCGAAATTTTGCCGATTTATCTGAGATCCAGAAACTCCTAGATATAATGACAAATTGGTGCACAAAAAATAATATAGATCTAAATATAGATAAGTGCTGTTTTATGCCATTTTCAAATTCAGCACCTCCGGAAAATTTCCTGTCTCTTTTCTTATCGGGAAAACAAATTGAAAAAGAAAAAAACGTTAAATTGCTAGGAGTTTATCTAAGCCCTGACCTCACATGGCGATACCACCTTGAGACTGTCGCGAAAAAATGCAGGCAAATGCTTGGCGCGATGAACCGCACGTTTAGATCAGCTCCATCGTTCATTCGCTTACACATTTACAAAACCTGCATTCTACCGATTATTGATTATTGTTGTGTAGTATATGATAGTAGGTTCATAACACATTTAGAACTACTAACATCTGTTCATAAACTTGCTGCTCGCATGGTACTGAATGATTATGTTTCTAATAGCACTATTCTCATTCAGAGATTGAAGTTACCAGACTTAGCTGCAAGAAGAAAATTCTTTAGACTAATCTTGTTTCACAAAATCATTACTGAGCGAAGCGCACTATCACGGTTTTCCTTAGTTAGTCCACTTACCACCAGAACATCTCAGCGAACTTCTAAAATCGATGTCTTTGGTAAGTTCCATTATTTAAACGTAAAACCACTAGCTCATCTTTCCTACCAAAAACTATAAAAGAATGGAATCGGTTACCGAGATAGGTAATAGCTGCTTTTAGTTCTCGAGTTTTAAATGTGCATTGACGAAACATCTCCTCTCTTGAAAGCGGTATATATTAAGCCATATCGTTTCTTCTTTTTTTGGAATCTTTTCTTTTTTCTATCTTTTTCTTATTTCTTTTTTGTGTAATGGGGTGATTTCGTCAAAGTTTGTTTTGTTTTGTTAAACTTTTTATCACCACCCTGTCAGTTTTTAAGATCATGGACTAAATAAATTTGACTTGACTTGACTACAATCGGGCTTAGATCCACCAGTCGATTAAACCTTTGTTTTATACTCAATGTTTGATTTTATCTCTCCAGTACGCGCATTCGGATTTGTATTCGTGTATATGTATGTCTCGTACCAGATAAAGATGTATAAAAGATGATCTCAATTCTTTTTGTCTCGTATTTCGCTGTTTTATACGAATTATTGTATCCTTGTTTTCAATCAATTATGTTTATACAAATAAATATTTTGTATGTTGTTCATATTATGATAGAACTCATGATTCTGAACAACTGTGCCGTTTAGCATGGTATCAAAATCGGTTTCTAAAATACAGCAGAAGTTGTTTTCTGTCTATCCCGTGTGATTTGCACGGAATGTCCCGAATTATCCCACGCAAAATAGCTGAGTGTCCATAATTACCCCAAATAAGAAGAATATAAAAAACGACTATGTTCATTCATTTTCGCAATTTATAATTAATTCATCAAGGATATGTCCAAAGGACTAGCAATTTACAAGATAGATAGAGCTCAAAATTCTCTACAAGATGGTATAATTTGTAATTAGAAAGGTAAACCTTTGCCGTTGAAAAAAAGTTGTTTTATTTTCTTCTAGCCATTTTTGCTGGACTGTCCCGAATTACTCCAGCGAGACACACTGACTGTTTCGAATTACCCCATTTAGGATAATTCGGGACATTTGATAGGAGCTCTTTGGAAATTGATGAGTACTAATTAGTCTTATTGAATTTTAACAAGATTTTTACATTAGTAGATAGAGAAATGTTCCGTCTATCTACCTGCGAAGTGTCGTTTTTTCCGAGTAAAAATGCTTCAGGTACGCTCAAAATACTGTGAAAATTAGAGAAGCTGTCCCGAATTACCCCAAGTTACTCTATCGGAGCTGTTCAGTCAAACATTATATCCATACAACGAACTCGATAATTTTCCATTTATTTACAGTGCGAATAGTGTGTCTTTTATATGCATGAGCACTGCAAAACAAAAATGACGATAGAGAGCACAACAAGTGTAATTTTCTTCTTTAAATCTTTTCAAGATCTTGATATAGGATCCATCACACTCATAAAACTTGTGTAGATTAAAAAAAACTTGTAGTTCCGGTCCAGGCTATGTCTAGCTTGAATGCATCATTTTATGAAAGAAAAAAATCGAATAAAACCGTTGCATTGTAAGGGACAGAAGGAGTAGTCTTCGACTAATAAAATGACCAAAATCGTCTTCCACCATATCTTCATTACACATTATACTCATACGTAATAAAATAAACACAATATGTTTTTGATAAAATCGTTTAGGAGATTTTTTTACCCTTTTTTATACACTCAGAGGTGTATGCTATATAAGAATAGCTACAAGAGAATTTGTTGCTCATAATATATCTCACTGGTACGTTCGGTGCAATTTGCAACGGTTTTATTCGATTTTTTCTTTCATAAAATGATGCATTCAAGCTAGACATAGCCGGGACCGGAACTACAAGTTTTTTTCCGGGACCGACACTAGAACCATGATTTCTTTTGACAGTTGCGTAACATCAGTTAAAACTTGACCTATTCTCCATACTGGAATAGAAATGTTGTAGAAAATCGTCAGGGAGTCTTACAGTTCGATCTTATGTAACTAGGCATGCACAGGTTATTTTGGTTATATATATATATGTATATATGATCAGAAGAAGAAACATACGGGATACTTCATCCATTAAGGGACAAATAACAGATAACTGTCGATTAGAAAACTCCTGAACTTTCCAACATAAATAGAGTATTTTTTCCGTGTGAGCAGAATTACTTTAAGGACCGGAACCATAAAAACCTTCCGGGATCGGAGAACTTTATGGGACCGGGACTGGAAAATCTTGGTCCCGCCCATATCTAATTCAAGCACTATACCGTTCACATTTCTAGTAAAACGCTAATACGCAGATTATAGTCTATATAATTGTGTGATTGAAGATGTCCATCCCTGCAAAAGAAACTTCCAGTACGGCACTGCTAGTGCTCAGCAAGTGCTGGTTAACATCGGTGCCGCACTGACATTTTTTTGCAGGAAATTATATGAAACTGTTTGAAAATTGCTGATTTTTTTGAAATGTTGATTTCGCTCGCGATAGCACATCACTTCTTTAATATATAATCGCGTTTATCTCACACATTGTTTGTTTCAGCATTTGAGCCATAATAACTGAAAAGCTAATTTCTATCTATTTCAATAACAAGGCATTTATGCACGTATATAAGTTGACCATCATCTTGGTAAGCTTTCACTATGAGAATGAAAAATATATACGCCCTTCAGTCATTAAGGTACCTTAGTCAAAAGCAGTCCCAAATTTTCACTAAGTTAATTTTCGACATAAGAAAAACGAAGAGTGGCGGTACCAAATAAGTGCCGATAAAGTACACTTTATGCTGGCACGGTTGCGTACCAATGCCAGCAAGAATGTTATAATCTTACAGGGAAGTTTAGTTTCTTTCTGAACGAAACATCGAAAAAAGTGTTATATACGAACAAGAGTTATCGGAAGGATTTTGCGGATCAGAGAGCAGAAAAAAACTATCCTGTACTCACTATGAGCTGAACCTCTGAGCGGACCGGAAGCGAATGATTACTTTATCTTAATTGCATCCTATCTCCGAAGAGACAGTCCGATAAAACATGATGAAATCAGTCCCTCACTGCCTCTACAAAAATCTATTCATAATAAAGTTTTTTTCTAATCCTGAAATTTGTGCTTAAAGCACATGAAAATTTCATGTTGTTCGACTCGAGTAGTTGATATGCCGCATAAAAAGAAAGATTTTTTTTGCGAAGGAAATAATATTCCTTTTCTTTCTTGAGATCAAAATCTTGTTAAGAAATGTGCAAGAAAACTTCCGCTAAACTCTGTAAATTTTGAAGATTTTATATGAAATATGGACGGACTTTAGAAAAGTTCAGAAAATTAACAGCTGGAGATTTTATAAATGTTAACAATCAAACTTTTATTGCTTCTTTAAACGTTTATGAACCTTGGACACATTTTATGTAAAATCGAAAGAATTTATTTCCACAAAATTAATTTATAAAATGTATGTTGTTGGTGTACTGCATTGGTTGCTAGTGATGAAGAAAGGAAAATTCATCTACATTCCTTGATCGTCAATACAGAAAAGTGGATGATGATCACTCATTTTTCTGATATCAAGTGTACAATACAATGAATAAGAAAAGGTTTAATCATTGAATTTTTAGATTAGCCAATAATATTTTAATTTGTGAACTTTTTGGTAGAAAATGCATTGATGCATCGGATTCAACTCTATTGAATGGTTGATGACTCATGTTGGTCAAATGGAACACGTGCGCCGGAGAAGAAAATGGAAATTTTTATGCATCACCGTTCTTGTCAAATAAAATAAAACTGCATTCTTTTTTAAGCTATATTAGTTCGAAAGAGCTCAGCTGTCGTAGTTACGCAATTGTATTTCCTATCCTGGTATTTATGCTGATATACGTAAATGACGTAATAGTAGATTCATACCAGTACCCGTGATGATTATGCGTTATTTTCGGTTTTGTTCTATCCTTCCCCTCGAGGATTTACTCGGTTGTGTTCGTAAACTAATGCGTCTTTTTTATCTCCCTTGTATTGATGAGCTTTGTATGGTGCAGTAAGTAATCTTAGTCTTTCTATATAAATGTGAAAAATCTTAATTTTTTCTTTTTCTTAGCCCCTCGTGAGTTTTAGAACTTCATTGAAAAGCTTTCTTACTCTTTTCTTCCCTGTGCTATCTCTTGTTGCTGCAAATCTGTTTTATTATAAGATCAAAGGAATTATTATTCTAACTTCGTCGATCCTTAATGCTTTTGAGGTATCAGCGACGAGTAAACTTGGTTTCTGTGTGCCAGATGTTGAGTAACAGCGCCGAAAATTTGAATAAAAGGTCTAATATCAGTGAATATGCACTGTTTCTTTTCTCCCTTCTATTTTTTTTCTTTTCTTTCATTTTACCTTTCAAACTCTTCTCAGTACGTATGTATGGAACATTCTGCCTCTTTATTTTCTCTTGTTTTCTTGGCGTACAGTAGTGTAGGGCAGTGTTCTGGAGCTGCTTTTTATTTTATTCAACAATGATATTCCTATGTCTCTTTCTAATTGTGAATTTGTTTTCTTTCTGATATCTGCCTATAGCCACGCTTCTCATGCAATTCAATTCTAAACTTGTCTCTATGATTTGAGTATGTATTTACAGTTTTCCAGACTATATCATAAAATCAACTTATTTCTCTCCTTTATTCTATTCAACTAACTAGCTATTGTTCTCTACATTACGTTCAGTAACTTAATGAAAATGGAATCAGAATAATTTTATTACGTTTAGTTCAAGTAAAATTTGGTTCAAAAACAAAAGGTATTGTTTGTAGAAAACATGATGAACTTCGATATATCACGTTTTCATAGATGTTACACATATATATATAAATGTAGGATATTTGAATACGTGACACTTACATAATGAAGTCGAAGCAGAACATTTTTATTACTTTTCACTGCATTCATTTTTCGTTATTCAATAGAATCTTCTATTTCTGATAGATTTTGTCTTCTCTCAGAACTAGCTAATGTTTGATGTTTCAAGTGTTTGTCGTTTTTTCTTTTATTTCCTGTACTGTGTTTATTTGTTGAGCATTTTCCTTTTCTTCTTTATTTTTTATTTCAAAATTTACATCTGATGGTTTAAAGAGCTGTTCTTTTTCTTAATATATGCTTTGTTCGAGTCATCAATTTATACATTGACGCGTATTTATGAATCAATGTGATGATTATTGTAGTTGTTATTATGTAAAGATTTTTTCTCAGACTATGTAATATTTAAAGTTGTTCTCTACTTTGATGGCAAATCGAACTGTCAAACAGGTTGATTTAAACGCCTTATAGTAATAATTTGCAACTCTCTTTTTACAGTGTAGATTTACCAGGGTTGTTTATCTTTCTGGGGCCGCTGTACCCTCTAAAGTTGTAGTTCAAAAGTGATATAATTTCTTTTTTTAAGATTATCTGCGTTTTTAGTTAAAGCAAAACAAAAGTTTCTACAATGTTCGCATTTGTTCAGCGTATCCTTGATTGGGTAAAAAGTTTGTTTTGGAAAGAAGAAATGGAGTTAACCTTGGTTGGCTTACAAAATTCTGGTAAAACAACGTTCGTAAATTTAATTGCAGTATGTATTTGCACATTTATCGTTTGCTCATTGAATCTACTTCAACAGAAATTTTCTTTTTTTCTCTGTAGTCTGGTCAGTACTCTGAAGATATGATACCAACGGTTGGTTTCAATATGCGAAAGATCACAAAAGGCAATGTAACAATCAAAATTTGGGATATCGGTGGTCAACCACGTTTTCGATCAATGTGGGAACGTTATTGTCGTGGTGTCAACGCAATTGTGTAAGTAATACAGCAAAAAAACAAACTTTATGTTTTAAATAACAGAAAAATACTTGAGTACTCATGAAATAATTTGTCACACGTATTTTCTGTGTTTCTGCTAAATCGAATATCTTTGTTAAAATGTGTTTATATTACGTAAGATTACGTCATATTATTCGAAGTGCATAATGGTGAATTAACTGATGTTTTTCTCACAATTTATGTGTTTAAAACAGGGTGACACGTAAAATATAGAATAAATTCCATTAGTGTGTTCAGCACACAAAATATTACATTAAGTCACTTTCGGTACACACGAACCACACAGTTTCATGCGTAAACATTAGTGATATAACGCGTTGACGAGTACTGAAACTCTGACATGGATGGTTACCTTGTTTTTCAATTAAAATCCGACTTTCTCGTTTAGATATATGGTTGATTCAGCTGATCACGAAAAATTAGAACCGTCGGCACAAGAATTTCGTAATTTACTCGATAGACCTCAATTACAAGGTATTCCAGTACTTGTGCTAGGAAATAAACGTGATTTACCGAATGCATTAGATGTACAAGATCTTATTCAAAGACTGTAAGTTCGTGATCTATTTGCACGTCTTCAGATACACTATCTTTTGTTTGTTTAGTGATTTATCACCGATCAAAGACCGTGAGATTTGTTGTTATTCTATATCATGCAAAGAAAAGGAAAATATAGGTATGATTATATAGCTTACATTACGAGATCTATAATAAGAACGACTATGAGAATCACTTGCAGTCTCTCATGTGAAATAACGAACAGTAGTACTATTGATTCTGATACACCCGTCAAGAAATAATCACTGTTTCAACTACTGTCTCTTTATAGATATTACACTTCAATGGCTTATTCAACATTCCAAAACAAATCGTTCATAAGAAAAAAATCTTAAATTATTGCATTTCGTCAGAATATACATAATGAAGAACTGATTTTAATTTTATTTCTTTATGTCTAAGAATTATTGTGCATGTAACTTATTGTTGTTATTTTTTACTTGACATTTTCTTGTACTAGAAACTCCTGTACGTGTCTCATTTTCTACCGAGGGTTTTGCGCTTTGAATTGTATTTTAACTAAAACTGACAAAATGTGTTTTTTTCTTTCATGTCAACAGCAACACATTTCCTTATTTACTGATCTTTCTCTTGTTTATAAACATGAAACTTTTTCTCTTTCAAATGGACTATATTTTATTGTGGCTAGAACGATAAAACAAAATTAATTTTGTATTTTTATTGCGCTTTTACTTTTTCATTGTGTTATGTTTTTTATGTGTATATTATTGAAGCAACATCAGTTCATTCTAAATTAAAGAAAAATTGGCTTGAAAATTTTTATGCTTTATTCTCGGATTTCGAGACGAAATAAAGACAGTTTTGTACGCTCAGTCCAAGTTGAAATGTCAATAAACAACAAATGTTAATGTACCAGATATGTCCTTACACTACGATTAATATTTTTCTAATTCAGTTAAAACTTGTACGATAGTTCCGACATTTTTCCACAAAGATGACTCATTGATCTCTACAAACGCACCAGATCAGAATCTCTTGATTCTCACATTGAGAATGAATCTTTAGAGACCAGACTTCTAAAGATAATTTATAAACTAAATAAGACAGTAAACGAACATCAGACTTGTGATCAATAACAAGAATTATCCTAGAAAAACCAGCTTAAATTAAAACAGCGTCATTTGAGAAAGTTCCCTTGTGAGATCAGACTTCAAATATCTCTTTTAATAGCAAGAAATAAACTTTGAATATTCTATAGATAAAGAATTTTTTATCCCTCATTCGACTACTACGCGGTTTTCTATTCTATAACCTTCAGGTTCTAACCACTACTACACTTACTGTTTTCTGAAAATTCAGATGAATAATCAAAGTCAAAATTCTACGAAAAAATCTTCTACTGTTGACGATGAACAAAAGAAAGCTGAAAAATCATCATTGTCAAAACAGCTACAAGATGATCAACAACAAAAAGATAAAAAGATAGATTTAACAAGTTTAGAAGAAGATGATGAATTTGAAGAATTTCCAGTTGAAGAATGGAAACAAGATGATTTAGATAATGAAGATACACGTTTATGGGAAGAACATTGGGATGATAATGTAAATGAAGATGATTTTTTTCAACAACTCAAACAAGAAGTAGAAAAAAAAGATTTAACAAAATTAATGACTGCTGCTACAACAGTGAAATAGTTTTAAATAAACAATTAATAAATAAAAAAATAGGCACATTATTTTCCACTATTGTTGTTTTTTTTTATTATGAGTGTATGATTTTTGTAATAAAGTAAAGAAAATGGGTGTTTTGGAGATATGTTATCGCAAATACTTAACACTGTAGTACTTTGTAACTAAAAAAATGAAGATAGATTTTACTTTTCTTGAAATTTCAGATATGATCAATTATTGAATGTGAAAATATCGTTAAAATGTAATGTTTATTTAATATTATGGTTGGATGTGAAAATCGTATTCTGAAAGGTCAGTTTTATTAGTCTTCTCATTTTGTAAGAGCGTTTTTAATGAATATTACCAGAAGATGAGTTATATGTGTGATCGAGTATTTGCCTGTCAAAAGTTTGATATCTACATAAAATAATGACTTTTGATTGAGGTTTTTAGTTGTCTACATCTAACGGGTGATTAATCTCTTATTTATTTTAGGTATTGATACGGAAAACAATGTTTGAAGGTTTCAATCTTTTTTACCAGAAAAATGAACTTAGAAAGAACCTTTTATTGAATGTCTCTGTCAAAACAAGTCACGATTCAATAAACTCTGCAATGAGTTTTTGTTTTGTGTTTTTCGACTTCTAACATGTTGTGAGAATGCCTCTCTATTGATTGAATCGTTTACAAGGATGAGTCCTTCGAAAGACTGGTATGTATGTATATAGGCTGTTTAGCTGCTCTGAATTATATTTTAATTTTACTTTTGTATTAGATAGGAATAAATACTAGTGCGAGTATTTGTCACATGCCCATGAATAAATGCAATAAACTGTTTGTTGGTGCCGAAAAGGAAATGAGAATGATTTAGAAATAAATTGAGAAGCAACGAGCCAATATTTTACCGAAAGAATGTAGGAGTTTTGGGTTTTCTTCTGAAAAATCATGTATAATTATAACCTTTATGATTGTAGGTGTGACCAAAAGTTTGTGTATCTTCGTATCCCAATATGAATGATAATTTCTAGACGGGGAAAAATCATTATCTAGTGGCAATAAGACATCATTAGGTAAATAAACGAGGGTTTAGAAGTTGTTTTTCTGTTACAATGTTTCTCTAAAATTTAGATTCATTTATACGATCCACAATCGAATGTAAGATACCTTGTTCATGAAATTCAGTTTAAACAATATCCGATTACAACATTTTCTACAACAACATTCATCGAATAGCTTGTAAGTAACCGATCACACAAACAAACACACCCTTAAAACGATTTATTATTAGTGATACACAAAGAGAAATGGCTGAATTTGATTTAATAAATTTATCAATAACAACATCGTCTTTCAATCATAAAAACAAAGGATTTGCTGGTAGTATCCAGTCATAAGATACGTATCCGACAAAGTCTTTAATTGTAAAATTCCTTCGATTTTTGAGAGTGTATAATGCAGAAGTAAAACAATTAATATAAAAGATAAATGATTGTCATACTGTGATTTCGTAACATTTTTGAGAATAATCTTTTCCTACTTCTGAGATATGTTTTCACAATTTTGTGTTATCCTGTGTTTTAGTTTTATTTCAAATCACATTTGATATTAGTTTTAATTGCACCACATCATGTGCATAAAGAAATGAATGTAAGTTATATAGTAACAATATTGAGCAAAAATTAACAGTGACAAATGCTGATTCTGAGAAAAATCCTTTTTATTTGTCTCGTGTACCATTGCTGTTTTTTTGTTTTAGAACTTTGTTACAAAATCGTTCTCACATAAAAAGAAAACAAAATGTTTCTTTTGTTAATTTGTTGCTGTTTATATTTTTTCCATGAATAAATAAATTAAATAAGTAAAGATGAAGACCGTTTTTCTTATTTTACTTAGTTGTACTTCTTTACTAGGTGGTTAAATATACTTTGGTAAATATCTCATTGGAGTAGCGCGTGTTGCACTAGTTCTTTTTTAGTATGATTTTGAAAATCATTTTTTATTTTCATTCAAAACTTGGCTTCTCATTCGTTATCTATTCTTTCTCATCTGACATCTGATGCCGATGTAACGATGTTTGATGCTAATGGTACAGTTAATACAGAATGAAAAGTTCTATCTGAAGTCGATACATCGTTTCGTGATTCGCTAACATATCAAATATCTTTTAATATTAAGTATAAAAGGGTAAACGCGTGCTGATATATTTGCTGCCAAAGTTGCCACAATATTTTTATTAGTCTATTTAAGATAAAATAGGGAAACTAACACGAAATATTTTTTGGTTTTATTGATGAGACTTCTATAGTCAACTCTCATGAACGAAACGTCGAGTATACGCGGAAAACTTTCCGATTCGTTGATACCATAGTAATGGTACTACATGAGATTGAATATCAATTATAATAGATCTAATCACGAACTTGTTCGTAAAATATTTTTTGGCTTTTATTAGAGATGCTAATAACGCTTCTGTCGTTTAAGTTACGATGTATCTCTGTATAGGGATATACTTTTCATATGCGTGTCTGTTTTTTTGACATATCTCTTTTCATGGTATGAATACGTAACACGTTTGACCTCTTTGTAAAACAATATATAATTGTTTTATCAGTCTAACGTTGTGTGAATTTGTTGATAATGTTTGAATTTTTATGCAGTTAACTTTGCTTCTGTTAGTCGTCGTTGTATATCTTGTTTGATCTCGTCTAAAAATGTGTCGATAATTTTAAGAGTGGAAGTGTGTGTGCAACTGGCTGCTCAAAGTATTTTTTACGAATTTTGTCTCTCATGTATGCAATTTTTCTATTCAAATCATTTAGTGTTATTAGTAAATTTAGATCAGATCATCAGATTAAATCAGATGAATCAACAAACCGTTGAGTAATAAAAAAAGTTGAGTAATAAAATACTTTAAGAAGTATTTTTCGATTTTTTTTCATCTCAATACGACTTCAAGTTAGCAGCAGTACATCCAATCTTCATTATGTTATAGGAAAAACCGCCTATGTATAATCTGCGAACACTACATCCATTCGTATAAAACAAAAATGTTTTCATAATTAGCTTATATCCTTGTACTATAAATTCTCTTCCCTCTGATATCGGTATGTAATATACACTGAGGAAACATTCCCAAATGCTTACTAGTCGATTGTTGAGTACAGAACTCCAGCATAGCATTGCACATTTCCAAAAAAATCGTTTTTCAACAACTTTGTACATCATCTTTGAGATTGAGAAATATATTTTCTATATACACTTTTTTTAACCTTCGTCCTAAACGTAAAAAATATCTTATAATTATTGTTAAAATGAAAAATATTTCTTTTTGTTCTTGTCCGTTTACGTCGAACATCGTATAAACTTTGTGTACATAGCCGTTTTTTACGTTCACATTTGATAAAGATATATTTGAAACAGATCGTGTGATTTTTTTTGTATTGTGTTCTCTTCTAATTTTTAATGAAAAAAAAATTATTCTGACACTACAGCTACTGCAAAAACAACAAAACATTAAATTGAATAAAAACTTTCCAAGGTATTCCATTCATAAAACTTGCTTTTAAAGCTTTTAATGCAGAAAAAAATCCAAATATAGTTGTACATGCACACGTATAGATTGTACACTTCTTATCCTTTTTACTTTTTGAATAAATGGTTTGCACTCGTTCAACTTATAGAAGAAGCGATTCCTATGTACGTGTGCTCAGATAGTACTAATATTGAATACTCATGGAAATAAATACATGTTTAACATAATTTCATACTGAGAGTAGTATTGTTAGTATGAGTCATGGCAAGCACGAACATGCTAAATGAGAATGAGGTTTGTTTTATCCAATCGTGCAAAAATGCACAACGACTGCTAGTCAGATTTGTTTGTTATTACTTTCACGATAATCTTTTTCTCTTTGATTATTTTCTTTCTAATTCTAGATAAAAATGCTCTCTACATTAGTGGGCAATGGCGATACGAATGTTACATTAACTGAAACAAACACAAGTCCTACTAAGGATAATTCAATAGTACAAAAACGTTCTGTTAGTTGTAGAACTGCACCGAATATTGCTCTTATTAAATATTGGGGTAAACGTAATGATGAGTTGATAATACCGGAAAATTCTTCGTACAGTATAACATTGAGTGAGGATGATTTATGTACACATACAACAATCTCTATGTCACCTGAATACAAATGTGATACATTTTATTACGAAAATGTTAAACAAAAAGAAATTCCAAAAAGAATGCAACATCTTCTAGATGAGATACGTCGTCGAACATCGAAACGAAAATTGGATAACGATCATTTTTCATATTTAAATTGGTCTGTTGAAATACATTCTCATAACACATTTCCATCGTCGAGTGGTCTTGCATCAAGTGCGTCCGCTTATTCAAGTATAGCTATTGGTTTATCAACATTATTTGAAGATACTGAAGATGGTACTATTACTCCAACATGTTCCTATTTAGCTCGTATTGGCTCCGGCTCAGCTATTCGTAGTTTATACGGTGGATTTGTTCAATGGTATCATAAAGATCCAGCATTATCCGAATGCATGTATCCAGCTGAACAATGGCCTGAATTAAGAATTGTTATTCTAGTATTTAATTCAAAAACAAAACCCATTTCATCAACAGATGCTATGAAACGTACAACACAAACATCATCATTATATAAAGAAAGATTAAAAACTATTGACGAGAAAATTGAACAACTAAATTTGGCAATAAAAAAGAGAGATTTTGAAAATTTTTCAAATATTGTTATGCGTGATAGTAATCAATTTCATGCCGTATGTATGGACACTTATCCACCTGTAATGTATTTAAATGATCAATCAAAACATTTCATACAACTCGTACACGAATATAATAATGCAAGCAAAATAACAAAAGTTGCTTATACATTTGATGCTGGTCCAAATCCATTTTGTTTTATTCTTCAACAACATTTAGATGAATTTCTTGATTTAATTAAATATTTTTATCCTGCTCAAACTCAACATCGTTTTCATGATCAAATAAAAACAATGAAATTAAATCGAATTCCGACAATGTGTGCTGAAACAGTGAATAACATTGACAATATCATCAAAAATATTAAACAACCAATTCAATCAGGAAAATTAGAACAAGTTATTTTAACGAAAATTGGTACAGGACCGAAAATAGTCGTCCAAAAAACAGATGACACTTTAGCTACCAGCTCATTATAGGGTCTACGTACCACGTTCAGTCACAAACACTCATTTTCTAATTTTTTTTTTTTTTTTTTTTGGTTAGCATAATGTTAGACATTGTCATCTAACATCAAAAGTAAGTTCATGTAAACGTCCGGTCTTTTTTGTACATTCTATCTATTATACAACATGATAAATTTTTGTTTCTTCCTGTTTTCTTCTCACTGTCAGTTATTGTCCTATAGCTTTTATTCATATATGTCATCATGTTTTTTTTATTAGAGGTTTTTCTCTCTTTTAAATCGGTATCTATATGAGGAGTATACAAGAACTATTCTAGTTAGTTATTTTTTTATTATTATTCTAAGAGATAGCGGAGGTGCACATAATTATCATTCTTGTACTGTATTGTATATGCATGGTTTTTGTTCATTTATTTGTAATAAATTTTTATTCAAATCAAATCAGGTTAGTAATTTAGCCAAGATTTTTCATCATAACATGCAACCTGATATTTATCATTCCCGAAAGTAGAATGATTAATCAACGAAGATGTTCTTGTTCTTTTTGAATGGTAATTCAGAATTATCATCGTTTATTGTCATGATAGACACCGAGATGTTGAAAGTTTGTTAAAACTTTAGGCAAATTAGACAGAAGGATATTAGTTCTTCTTTCATTGATTTTTTTGTATAAGATTGTGATATTGTACGTTTCATACTTAATATAGAGGAAAATATTTTGTTGCCGCCATCTTTAATTGTAATATGGAATTTTTTTATCATAAATTTATCATATGATATATAGATAATTATTTTATCTTCATTGTTCAAAAGGTTTATTTTGATATTGTTTTGTAATAGATCAATTTAAATAAAATTTACAGCTTTAAAAATATTTTTCTCCAATACATATTGCTTCACTAAGGTTATGCAATAAATGCTCTAAAAAGTAGATCGTTATGACACCTTTTTAAAACTATTCCAGAAATAATATAATATGACTGATAATACAAAAAAATTATCTCAATCTCTTGTTTGTTTTAATGCTTATGTAATTTCTTTTTTATCTATGGTTTTTCTTCTGTTTGTTATATTCATTATTTCTATCGCACTATGTCACAGGTCAGAATTTATACACAAATAACAGATAATACTACTAACAGTTTTCCTTCGCTGACCAAATGACACAGGTACGTAGTTGTTTAGAAAAGTTTCTGTTTGGTTCATTAATGCTCACATATGTAAATTTCTGATCGACTAGTCGAATTTGTCGATATCCGGATAATTCTTTCGAAAGCATATTAAACTTTACATCGACTGTATGTTAATCGTCTGAAATCTTCAGAATTAGTGCAATTTGAGTTCCTGATGACGAATATTATGTTATAAAGTGAATAGACCTTTTGCTGGCATTTTTATTATTTTTTAACGAAACATTTTTTTGAGCTGAAAGTCCCAGATTAGAATCTGTATATGAGTCATTTGCAACTTTATTGTACAATTGAGTTTTTGTCGTATTTTTAAAATTTACTCCGGTTTCTGGAAACGGAGTTCGAAATTTCTTTTTTTTGTTTTATCGCTGTTTGCTTGCTTCACTACCACAGAAAATCTAAGCTCGATATCTCAACAATTCACGAGATAAACCCAACAAAAGTCGAAAAAAACGTGTTTTTTGGATGAGTTATTGAGAGAAAAGTAAGTTTTTCTAACAAAAGAAGGAACGAAAAGCAAAAAGCAAATAGTACGTTTTGTAGAGCATTTAGTGCTCTATCAAACTGTGTGCCTTCATGCTTGTTTTTTTTTTTTTGTTTATGCTCGTCTATGGCGAAAATTGTTTTACAGACAACTTGTAGATCGAGATAAAAATAAAACTGGGCGCTTGAGAAAACGTTTTTTTGGATGTGAGGTGTTCATAAGAAAGAGCAAGTGCGGCTGTATCTAACTGAGTA